ACAGCAGTTGCTACCACCTCCGGTTTGCGCAAGAGGGGAGAGGAGAAACCCGCTGCTGACTCGTTTAGCCGATCCTGACCCGCACCCAACGCCCTAAACCCTAAACCCTAAACCCTAAACCCCTAAGTCCTAAACCTTAAATCCTAGACCCCTAAACCGTAAACCCATAAACCCTAAATCCTAAACCCCTGAACCCTAACCCTAAGCCCTAAGCCCTTAAACCCTAAACCCCTGAACCCCTGAACCCTGAACCCTAAACCCTGAAGAGATGCATGGCCGGTCGAAGGCCGCAGCAGCTGCTGAGCGGAGAGAGCTGAGGCTCAAGAAGGATCTAGGGTTTAGGGTTTAGGGGTTTAGGGTTTAGGGTTAAGGGGTTTATGGGTTTAGGGTTTAGGGTTTAAGGGTTTAGGGTTTAGGATTTAGCGGTTTAGGGTTTATTTAGATTACCCTAAGGGTCCGAAAAACCTAATAACCATATACTTGGGTCAGGGATAGTAGTTTTTGTAAGTTAGTATTCAGAAGAGTAGATGATTATTTGGTACTTGGACCCTTAGGGTTAGGGCTGATGGCTTCGGGTTTAAGTCTTAGAATAAAGGCGTGCTTTTTCAGGGTTCGCATTAGGGTTCGAAACAGGGTCTATAAGGTATCCACGAGGGATTTGGAATTTTAGATGTTAGTGGTTCCCTCTTTTGTAGAGTTGTAGGGGGTCTTGAAGCCGCATCATCAGAATTTGTAAGTTTTCAAAGGATCTTCGGTGTCTTTTTTTTGATGTGTACGTCTGAGGTTTAGGGTTACATTTCATCGGGCACGCTGTTGTTGTGTTCCGGTTTCATCCTGCCAGAGAAGGGTTGAAGGGCAGCCCAAAAATCCGCAGTTTGTCCCAGCGCCTGTATGGACGATACACATCGTGGCTTGCATCCGGAGCACCCCGCATCTTGCACATCAGGGCTTACACGTGAGGGTTCAGATACTTAGGGTTGGGTTCAAAGATCAAAGGTTCACGGTTTGGGCGCCAGGCTTGGGTTTTATGCATAGGGGTCCTGGTACTTAGGGTTGGTGATGGCTTATGCTTTTTGGGCTTTAAGATTTCTGATTTCAGAGCTCAGCGGTCAAAGGCTTAGGGCTTTAACGGGTGTATAAGGGCTTGGGATGTAGGATTGGGTTTGGGCATTAGGGGTGTAGGGCCTGGGGACTAAGATCCAGAACTCATGGTTTGCCATTGAGGCTTTGGGGTGTGGAGTTTTAGGGCCTCGGGAGTTTAGGGGTCTATATAGGGCTTGTAGGAATCCGAATCCGCACGATGTTCAACATCGGGATCGGAAGGTTGGGTTGTACATCACAAAAACGGTGTCGATCGCGGTCTCGATTTTTGTTTTTGCGGCATTGTGAGATTAGGGTTGCAGTCTTGACGGCGCTGGGGGTACTGAGATCGAGGGTCTTAGGGTTTAGCCCGCGGGCCCCAAAACCCTACACGCCAGCACCACATCGGCAAGATTCCAGAAAGTGTGCATAATGTACCACTTTCTGAAACCTAGGCTGGAATGTCCAAGGTTCGGCAGCACATCCGTATTCTAAGCAGCACACCCCGAGACGGTGATAGGGTGTGTGTGTATATATATATATATACACATACTATGTTTACATAATATCACATGATAACAGTATGACATAGTATGATCTAGTATACGCATGTACGTATGTATGTATGTATGTACGTACGTACATACGTACATGCGTATGTATGTATGTCTATATATATATATAAATGCACTTAGGTTTATTCATGGTTATATACACATCGACAGAGTGTTTGGGGTTTCCTAAACCGGCATGGAGTTCCTTTCAAGTCATATCTCCACGGTCCCCGGAGGCTTTTCGTTCAGCTCGAGCGCTTGCTGCGCCGTTGGCGGCCCTGCCCAGCAAAGGCCAGGGGTCCAAAACGGCAGCAACGGCAGTTCAGGGTCTATCGTCCCGGAGTATAAATTGCCAAGAAAGTTCATTCGGGTAGCAGAATGGCATGAAGGCCGGCAGCAGCCAGCCTAGCATGGCTTGAAGAGTCTTCGTGGGTTGAGGACCGCGGTTATCCTGCAAGCTCTTGCTGGGATCGGAGTTGAAATTGACAGTTGCAGTGTCTTGTGCTTCAAGCTGGGACTGAGCTCTAACCCTAAATCGCAAACCGTGAGATAGGATAATCGCTGCCCATGGCTTTGGAAGAACTTTTAGCAGAACCTGGAGCTAGTGACTGTGGTCCTCTTCTTCCCGGCTTCACCATAGCCTTACGTAGCCGTTGGAGGAGCTGAAAAACTTTTGGGCATATAAGCGGTTGAGGGCTGGGGGTTCTGGACTTTATTTCGGGATGGCTATTCTACTTCAGAGCCCATTATGGTCCAGGGTGTCAGGGTTGACATGTTGGCCGCAGGGGCAGCTGCTTGAGCGAATCCTACGCATCTTGACATATGAGTACTTTGTGCCCTAAACCCTAGACCCTAAACCCTAAACCATGAGCCCTGAAACTCTAAGCCCGACACTCGTGGACTGTCTGAACCGTTAATTAATCCTTATCGAGCGAGCTTTCTGCTTCAGGGCTTTGGTTGCGGTTTAGGTTCAGGCGTCAAGACTTTGAGCTTCCAGCTAGGGATCCGGCTGCAAGATCTGGGGATGGGGCCCACTCTTGAGATGCTTCAGTCCAGGGAGGATTTGGGGTTCAGAGTAGGGCAAGGCGTGGCAGGGCCTTTGTCTAGTGCGAGACTCGGGGCCCTTGAGTTCTTTGCGGTTGGGGCACCCGACGATTGAGGCAGGCCAACCCACTGCAAATCCCAACCCGTGGATTGTGGCTCAGGGATCCCGAACAGCTAAGCTCGTCAGGTACTTTCGAAAAGATATATACTGCATGATTTAACCCGATGGTGAAAACATGCTGAACTCATGCCATAAATGCTTAAGCATCTCAAAACCCTACTGCCTAACCTGTAGCCTCTAGCGGTATGTAGAAACCCCAAGCACTAAACCAGATCACAGGCCACCACGTGACCAAGACGGCTCTGAGTGCCGGGCGCACCACCCCCAGCGATATTTTTCCGGGAGCTTAATTTACATAAGTGATTGTGGATCCCTTTTCTGGGGGTCTTTGCATGGAATGTGATTACAGTCTCCTGCTGGCTGCGTTTGGCAGATCCCCCGCGCGAGAATTGCTCAGACCAGCTTCAGCCAAAAACGGAGCACTCCATCCTCCGGATCTGTGGGCGCACCCCAAAAGACCGCGCAGACGGCTCGTAGTGGTAGTGAGTGCATGAGATTTGTGTGTTTGCAGCGGCAGTAATACTGCCAGTAAGACAATAATGGAGAGAGAGACGGAGAGCAACAAACAAAGAGGAGATAAAGAGTCATCCGCACGGTTTTCCAGCGGCAGAGACTTGAATTCATACAACACTGATGACATGTAACTACATCGGTGCATCCGAACGGTTAGCGGTTAGCACCTTTGCAGACTGAGCCATGTCAAAGAGTGCTGTGAACAACCACGGAGTGGAGCTGACCTCCATGGGCGTGGCTGGGCAGGCTGCTCGAACATTGCTTGATGATTCGAGCAATGAGCACTCACATTCCCATGCTAGGAGGAGAACAACTCTAGCAGACTTGAGGCGGGAGCTGCAGAGCCAGGAGGACGAGAAGCCGCACCAACATCGACGAGCTGAGACTGCCTTGGCCGTCTACACCTTGGCCCGCATCGCCGCCAATGTCTGGGTGCTGCTTTTTCTCCGAAACCCAGACGGGATTCCAGACTATGTTGATTTTGGTATTGATTCAATCCTGAGGCCTTCGATCACAGGCCTGGGAGTCTTTGTTTTTCTGTACAGGAAGGATCGCTTCTCCACAAAAAACCCTCTACAGCTTTGGAGCTTTGTCGCAGCCTGCTGCCTCGCCTTGCCTGTGTGCGATCTGAGTGGAGAACTGGTATTAGTATTAGAGGAGGCACTGCTGGAGGCACTGCTCAGGCGGCACAGCAGACTTGATGTGGTAAATGTTGCAAGGATATTGTGGGAAGTCTCTTGCAATCTCTTGCAGGTGTACATGACCACGATGAAGCTTCGGGCCCTCGGCTGGCATCGGGCCGCTCGGTGCAGCGACATGTTCACAATGCTGGGTACCGGGTCGCTCGTTGCATTATTTCTAGCCGTCTGGCTGTTTGAATCTGTGGAGCCCTTGAACATAACAGTTTACATTTGTTTCGGCTTCACCTTTCTGACTCTGAGCATTCAGTGTGGGGCACTGACCTGGGCAGCATGCAGCGCTTTGGTGAAAGCGGGTGATGAGACTCTCCGTTCGACAGCATGCCTTTTGTTGGTCAATTCCGTTTTAATACTTATAGGCCCTGTCTTGAGTTTTGCAGGCCTTTTCGCCCTCCTCTTGGAAGATTTTTTGTTCAGGTCCCTGTTGACAGTGGACGTGGCTTTTCAGGTCTGCAATGTGCTGTTGCTGAGCGGCATGGTCGGCCCGAGGTTAATGAGTCTGGAGACATTGAAGAAAATTGCAGAGCTATCCGGGTCTGGGTTGGCTTCCAAGCGCATTGCGTTTCCGGGACACATCAGTCGCAGCGCTCGGGACTGTATTGTCTCCTTCCCGGGCAAGTATAGCGAGTCTTGGGACAGAGCAGTTTCCAGCACTCAGACTCAGAAGGATGCATATTCATTGGCGTGCGTTTTTCTGACTGATGCGGACGCTGGTTTAGGCAAGCACGCCAGCAACCCAGCGACCCCTGGCAAGTGCTGGTGCCAGCAAATCTATGGCCCTATACCGGCATCAGCATACCTCAGCGTGGTCGAGACAAGCGTAGCTGAGCAAAACAGCAATCAGAAACTCGCATTTGCAAGGGCAGATGCTGAAGCCATGGGACAGCGATTGATAATCAAGCAAGACCAAGGGGAGATGGAGTGGGAGCAAGAGCTCGCGGAAGCCTTGCGAGATGCTGAGAAGCGCTGTGCCGAGAACCGTGAGCTGGCCCCTTGGGGGTGTCAGTGGTTCGAGGACTGGAAGAACAACGTGGACATAGCGGTGCAACATCATCAAACGCTGCACGTCTTCTACTTTGAAGGCTGCAAAGGGAAAGGCAAAATGGCTTGGGATCAGCTACCTGACAAGCAGGCAAGGCAGGAGGCCAGGAAGGGCAGCGGTCTGGGTGCATCTCAGACTTCTGAAGTTGCCTACCTCGACAAGGTCGGCTTAAGATATGTGGAGCATGACATCATGGAATTTGAGGATTTCCTAGCTTCACGCAGCTGACGGGCCGTGGTCTGCGCAGCTTGCGAAAATGTAGCTGCATGCTCGTGCTCTGTGATGGCCATCCAGAGGGGCAAGACTTTGTGTAAGCACGAACGGAGGGGAGCTTACGTTTGATCAGAAAGTATCGCATCAAAATCCGAGAAGCTTGGTGTATATCATTCCTGCCCATATAGGCATGTTTCAAAGTCACGTTCACGCTTGTTGCATACTTTTTTCCCATGAAGGAGGAGACCTTTAGACTTGCAGATGTTGTTTGGGATCGAAGACCATTCTTGTTCCTTTTGTGGGGTCGCGTGCGCTTACCGTCATCTGCGGCATGCCCCAGAAGTATGCGGATTTTGGACCCTGCTGGTAATATAGGGGCTTAAATACTTACCAATACTATCTTCGGGGTGTTCCTTACTATCATTGTACTATGAAGGTGACCAAAACCCAATTACAACCCTATTCTAGTTGTTAAGGCCCCTACGTTATGACAGCTCAGGGGTAGTACGTAGGGTTGCAGTTTCAGAGTCCCCTAAGTCCATTTCAACCTTTTCTGGCCTAGAAAACATAAACAACACCCCACCTGCAGCCACAATGCCGCTCGCGGACTTATGCGTATGGGAGGGGCGGGGGGAGAGGAGGGGAGGGGTTTAGAGGGGTTTGGGGCGGGACTGGTGTTTCAAGCACCTATTTTCGCGCCCGTCACTCCCATCCCACACTGTCATCTTCCCCCATGCAGCCCCTTGTGCAGTATGCAATGTTCCTTTATCCGGTTTCCATGTTATGGGACGGAGAATCAACAGTCTACACTACGCACCCTGCCCGGGATGGAGATCTACAGGTTCGGGTTTGAAGGCTATAGCCAAAGCCCATGCACCGTAAGCCCGAAACCCTAAACTTTGAACCCTCCTAGAACCTCATTTTAACGTTTAACCCTTATCGAACCCCCCCTACAGAACCCATCAAAATAGAGCCCTGAACCGTCTGCTGCAGGCGGTTACCTGGGACTGTCGGCAGTCGCAGCGGCAACACTCACCAGACGCTGCGTGAAGACATGCTGGTCAAGAACGGAAGTGTCGAAAACAGTGGCGTCTCAGTTTTTGTGTTTCTCTGAACCTGTCCTTCGTAGGGTTTGTGGTGTAAGGATCTTGGGTCTTACCTTCTTTGCTATGCAAGGTCGAGAGCTCAGCTGATTTTCTTAATGCAACTTGTTGGGAGGAGCGTTTGTTGAGGGTCTGCAGATCCACCATTGATACACTAGCAAAGGGGTCAGCCGTGATGAGACCGCACACCATATAGGCTTAACACCGTGATATAGGGGCCTTATATAATTGAAATGGGGTTTGGGGTATATTATACTATAATTAAAATAAGGAGCCCCTAAAACCATATTCTACCTTGACAAAGGCCCCACCGTCAATTCCTACTGGGGCTAGTCATGCACCGACTTCAGGCTTTCAGAAGTCAGATTTCCAGAGACGGGTCTGTGTGACGTAGTCCCGAAATGGCCCTAGCTGTGACGGCACCCTAACCCCCCAGGTACCTACTATATAGGGTACTAGAGCCCCTAGGGCCCTATATAGTAGGTACCTGGGGGGTTAGGGGCACCTTAACCGTGATTTGAGAGAAGCTAATTAGCCTTCGGTAGAGCCCAGACACCCGTTATTGTCGACACGTGCGCAGTTCTTAACATCAGAAGAGCGCGCGTTCCAAAGACAGCAGACCCTGTCAGAATCCACCAGCATGAGATTGCGCAGAAAGGTAATGCGTTCAGGAGTTGGAGCCTTGTTCAAGTTGTGTGTTCGTTTGGGTGTTGGTATTTCCTTCGTCGAAATGTCCAGAAACCTTACATTGCTTGCCTTCCAAGGGGGGTAGACAGCACGAAAACCACGTGTAACCTCCAACATAACCGACTTCCTATGTCCCGGGATCCCAAACCGCACGAATGTCATGCAAGACCCTGTAGGACGCTAGGATGCCCTTACGAGAACACGGAAATGACTGGCAAACCGCATTGTTGGCTCCGAGCTTGCCAGTATCCTGGCCCTGTTTCTGATGCGCTTCAAAGCGTTCGGCCTAAGACTAATAAGGGCCTAGTAGTTTTCTGTAGAGTTTATGGTCCAATCAGGGTTCCTCTTCTAACAATGGTTAAGGCCCCTATAATGAGGGCTTCCAGCCGAAACTATTTATCGTTTAGAAGATACGGTTTAAACGTGGCAAGACTTGCCCATAGCCTTCCAGTACCAGCAGGAGACGCAACTCCACGAATCCCAACTCATGTAGCAACCCCAAGCATACGACCACAGTGAATTCAATGTCATAGAACTTTTCGAAAGTATTGTTGACCCTGAACCCTAAACCCTAAACCGGTTGTTGATGTCTATTGCCTGCCTAAGGGATCATCAACGAGCTACATACCTTTCACTCGGGAAACCTGAGCAGCAGGCCCACAATTCAGAACAATTCCCAAATACCAAGCACACCTCAAACATAGCTGTTCAACACTCAGCCGAAGCGGCGCCGGTTGACCATGCTACCACTCCGAAGGCATAATGCAGGCCCACGGGTGATCCACGATAGGTTTGTATTTTGCACAGAGCATTTCAACCCCGCACAAACCTGAACCCTACGCCAAAATACTAAACATGCTAATCCATCCTGAACCCGCAAGTCTAAATTGGAAAGCCGGTAGCTCACTAGACGGCTTAACCCCCAAAACTTCATACCCGTCCAGGAAATCCAAAACTAGTTTCTCTTTACTTTCCGGCATATTTTCGAAGGATGGTTGGACCTGCTTCTTATTCCTAAGATGCCCATAGTAAGTATAGTGTAGAAGCGCCCCAACAATCCCGAGTCGAAATATTCAGATTTCTACATGAAATCCGGAAAAAACCAAACCTTTTGCCCCTGCTTGTAAATTGTCAGTTACTTTGCACCGTAAACATAATACCACTACTATAAGACGACCGCCACCACCCGGACCACCACGACGACCAACCACTACGACCAGGAGCACAAACTATGCACCGCACTTGATCGTGAGCCGCGTCCCTTCAAGCCTCCCCCTCGCGGGAACACTAGGCAATTCCCTTCGCCATGTATATAATACCGGGGAACGAAGCCCGGACAAAACAAATCAAATTTAAAACCCTATCAGAGCCCATATACAACACAAACCATGGAGATGGCGGCCGGCAGGCCGATCCGTCAGTGCTCTACCAGGTCTTCCGCCATTCCTACAGCCCCAATGCTCAGGAGAAAGAGTGTATGATTTGATATGCGCATGTTGTTGTTTCAAGTCTTTGAGGTTTCATGACTTATAGGGTTTAGGTTTTGGGGATGCGCAGGACCGAAAGTCGTGTTCCTTGCGCAAGGTCTTGGAAGTTAGGGTCTGGCGTAAGTTTCGATACAAGGTTTCTGTTTCTACGGCAATTAATTAGGTCGGTGGTGGGGCTTGGGCGGTCGGCATAGGGTATTGGATTTCCGAAATATTGCAGCTTCTGCTAGGCCGCTCTTCCAGCGCTTTTCAAAGCCAGGATCACAGCTAAATACCCTGCGATAACCTTCTACCAAGCCTTGCAAATTCCTACCAAGCCCCCTTGATAGAAATCCAGACCCGCATTCCGGCAGAACTCTCAGACACTGAACCCATCAAGCCTAAACCTGCCTAAAACCCACCTCCCCCTCCAAAAAGCAAGCAAAACGCTTTTTTCCTGAAATCCGAAAAAGCCCAAAACACTAAATTTCCCGAAATCCGGAGAAAAAACCTAAACCCTCAACCCTAAACCCGCTTATAAGCCTTAACAGACTCCAACCATAAGTTCGCAGGAGCGGAGCCAAGCAGAGGCCTGGCTCCGCCAGGCTTCGGGCACCCCGGGGCTCCTCGGGGTGCGGCACTCGGCACTCGGCGGCTTCGGAAGGGGGTTTTTGGGGTTTTGAGTGTGGGTTTAGGGAGGGTAGGGTATGGTAGGGTTTTAGATTCAGGGTTTAGGGAGTTTGGGGTTTAGGGAGTTTAGGGTTTAAGATTCAG